CTTCCAATGACGGTGAAGGGCAATCGTCGATTGATGGAATTCTGGTCAACCGCATCGCTCTTACTGCTCTGGTGCGCATTGAGATTCTTGAATTTCTTGATCGTCAACATAGGCCTGTCCAAGCTACATTTGCTTGGGACCGCATTCAGCAGACTGGCACAATTTTGCAGCGTTTTGCGAAGTTTGACTTAGCTGATGTTGCCAAGTGTGATGCGTCAGATCCTGCCTGTCCTATCAACTTGGCTTGTGACCAACTTTGGCGTGAGCATGAATCCCGGTTCCAGGCAGCTGCTCATTCCAATCAGAAGTGGGACATCTTCAACGAATTTGCGATCAGTATTTTGCTGCGCAATGGTGCTCGATGGGACAAAGGGCCCAGGATCAGAGGGCAGCTACCCCATTTTCGGAAATCGACCATGACGACCATGCAGGAAACAGCAGGAAATGCAGCTTCGCCGCATTTGCTTTTGCTCAGGGCCTGTTTGCGATCTCTGCGGGAAATCTCCTTTCGTTTGGGCCGTGATTGTACTGGAGATGTTGACACCCGTACACTGCTGCAGACAATGAAACGGTTGTTGCGAAGGCTGAAAGAAGCAGGGATCATTCCTGCGTCCACATCTCAGGTCTTTCAACACGATGTTCCACATTTGATTGAGCTCACCTTGCAGGCGATTGCTACTGAGATCAAACAGATGAAGATGTCAGCAATCCGGCGCTGGAAAGAAGCAATGAAGAATGCCACAACATCTTTGGCCATTGGCAAAGTTGTCTACCAATACCTCAAGAAGAAGGGCCGTGTTGTCCCACAAAATCTTGTGGAGGATGATGCAGGCAATATTGTCTATGACCCCAATACGGCTATGGACATCATTGCTGATAAGTGGGACTCAGTGTTTTCTGTTAATGCCCAGCATTTTCATGAGATGCAGATCCTGAAGCAAGTCTGGCCTTACATCCATGATAAAGGGCGGTCTGTTGTGCTGCCGCCTATCACAGAGATGCAGCTGTGGGAACAGGCTTGCAGACGCAAGCCCGATGCTGCCGCTGGACTTGATGGTTGGAATACTCGAGAGGTTCAGCTCCTGCCACCAGCGGCTTTTCGTCCTGTTGCTCGAGTATTTAATGACATTGAAGCGGGGCATGCTGACTTCCCAGACATCTTAACTCAAGTTCGAATGATCATCTTGAACAAAGATGGGAGTGAGGCACCATTATCCAAAAGACTGATTTCCTTGCAGTCCATCTTCACGCTGCTCTACACCGGATTGAGGTTTTGGCAGTTGCAGCAATGGCAGCAGCAGGTGATGCCTATTCAGTTGAAGGGTGGGATCAAACATCGACAAATGTCTGAAGTGCACCTTACTGTCCAAATGGAAATTGATCATGCACACAGCTTCCGGGGCTCCTTTGCAGCAGTGAAGCTGGACAAGTCAAAGTGCTTTGACCGGTTGATGCCCAAACTTTGTGCGGCCATTATGCTCACGCTGGGACTGCCGCTTGGGTTCGTGAGGGCCTTCCTTGGGCTCTATACCAGAATGACTCGATTTCTGTCATTTAAACAATGGACCCGAGCACAACCTATATCCACTCCAAATGGTGTTGTGCAGGGATGCTCACTCAGTTTGTTGTGCATCAATCTCCACATGGCCATTTGGGCTTGGCTGGTAGACCACATTGATGGTGTTGATTTTCGAGCCTTCATCGACGACACTTACCTGTGGACAAGACAATCATCCATTGATGGTTTAGTGGCTGCAGTCAGAGCAACTGAACTTTGGGATTCTCTATGTGGCCAGTTTCTCAACGTTGGCAAATGTGAGCTGTTTGCCACTAGTGGCCCGTTACGGAAAGCTCTCAAGGCCGCTTTCCCGCAAATGAAGCTCGTTGAGGTCGTGAACATACTGGGCGCTCATGTTCAAACGACGAAGAAGAATGTGGGCAATTTTCCAGCTGCAAAGCTGCAAGCTGCATTGCGGGACTGCGAAGCCATCCGTGCACTGCCATGTGATGCTTTCAAGCGTGCTCAAATTTTGGCCACGAAAGTCTTGCCTCAGATTGCCTTCGCACCGCAGTTGAACTTTATTCCAAAGAGGATGTTGGCAAGACTGCAAAGCGCGATCGCGGATGCTTTATGGCAAGACCGCCCGAAATGGCGCTCCAAGCACTTGTTACTGTGCATTGTGCATAAGGCCCATCGCCTGGATCCCTTCCTCTGCCGAGCTGTTCTGACTATTCTGGAGACTGTTCGCTTCCTACAACAATCTCAATTAGCTCGCCAGCAATGGCAACAGTTGTACGCTCAGGATCAGCTTACAGCACAGGCGTGGATGACGCAATTTGGTCAAGCTTGTCAGATTCTGGATATTGTCTGGGTTCATACCTTTGAGTTTTCCATCTTCAATTCTGAGCCGGTCATGTTTTTGGATTTCTCAGTTCCAGATCTGAAATGTATCCTCAAGAGTTTGGCGGCTAACAAGTGTTACCATACAGCTTGTCTCATGCCGAGGAAAGATGTCAGTACGGCCAAGGGCTTTTTGGATCTCACGCTCCCGTTGTCCGCTAAGAAAAAGCTGGCGAAGATCAATAATGAAGGCTTCAGTTTCCTTTTTCACTGGGAGAGCGCTATCACTGGCTGTACTCATACTGCTGATCGCTTGGCTGCAGCAGGTCTGGTTGACAGCTCACAATGTCGTTTCTGTGACTTGGGAAAGGAGTCCTTACCACACTTTGTTGATGAGTGCCAGAAGCTCCCACCGGAGCTGGCTCGACCGTCGACCCAATTCTATTTTGGACCGAATTTCCCTATTCTGGGGATTGCAGAGCTTCCGATGGAGGTTATCCGTGAAAAGCTGGTCACATCCAACACGTCCGCCATTCCTGTGGCTCAGTGGGTGCAGCCAATTGGTCCGGTTGAACACGTATGGACTGATGGGTCTGTCCAGCTGAATACCCATCCATGGCTTGCGATTGCCTCCTTTGCAGTGGTTTCCCAGCACGGATCCTTACTTGCTGCTGATCGAGTTCGACACTGGAGGTTGTCCAGTTACACAGCTGAGTTATGGGCTGTTTTGTATGCCTTTGCAATGTCCTCCACGCCATTGGTGATCCACACTGATTCTCTGACCATCGTTAGTCAGTTTCCTGAGCTTTTGGGTGCCAACAAAGTGCGTATTGAATGGACTCACTCAAATTGGTGGGGCTTTTTATTGGGTCTGGTGAATCAACGTCGTGGTCTTCATGATTCACCACTGCAATTGCTATGGTGTCCGGCTCATCTTCTAGAGCATATTCCAAGTCCTCTGCTTACTGATGATGAAGCTCAACGCGCTGGCTCATCGAAACAAGATATTGTGCTAAATCGGCTGGCGGACCATTTTGCTAAGCACCAGATCCATGACACTGCTCGCACTATGAAGAGTGAGTTGACTTGTAAAGAGGCAGACATTTTTGCTCGACAACTGTGGTTGGCTCGGTGCAATCGGTTTTGCAAAAAGCCTGCTGAGACTCGTGAGACAGCGAATGTGGCTCATTCTGCCCCGCAGGTTCAGTATACTGCCAGACAGATGTTCCCACGATGGCCATGGGATGTCCCTGTCACGCAGTACTTGTGGCAAGCACAAATCCAGTGTGACATGCCCTTTCGTGAGAGTTCCAAACTTTCAGATGCAAACTTCCGTGTTTTCCTGAGATTCTGTGCCACCGTCGAGTGGCGAATTGGTGACACTTTCGCTTGCTCTGTGTTTGAGTTGGCCATTCGGGCATTTGTTGACGGATGGAGATTCCAGTTGCCACATGGAACACTTTGTACGCCACAAGCCTTTGCAAGCATCATCCGAGCTGGCTTTGCTGTCTGTAAACAAAGGCAGATCATCGTTGCTCCTCTTTTGCTTGAGAAAGGAAATAAAAGTAACGGGAAGACGTTCCCCAAGGGCACCTTTGTAGGCGCCGAAGCCTTTTTGCCTGTTGATGCTCTCGACATGCTCGCTTGTGCCTTCCAAAAAGGTGCCAGCCTGACACCTCATTCGTGGTGCATTCCCTTCGAGAACTTGTTGTAGTGCTTGCATGTGAAGGTGTGACCATCAATGCGGAACGCGTGGTGGTTGCCGGAGACTTCTCGTGACGGCCGGAAAGCAAAAAAGGAAGCTCCCCCCCGCCTTCAGGCGGGGGAGCTTCCTTGAAGAAGTGTGAGACACCCTGCGTCCGAGCTACGAACTTCCTATTGCCAGTAGCGAACTACTCCAGTACTTGCTGTAATAAAGTAGGCGCCTACTTAATTAAAAATAGATCATCCAATTCTACTGCACTCTAAGATGGGCTCATTCCGACTCATTCTACTTACGCCTTTTCTGATGCCTCTTGGTAATGCCAAGAGAATGACTGCTTTCAACGCTACGACAATGATTCCTAATTGTTTGGCATCCCAGCGGACGTTGAAGGCACAGGCAATTTTGAAGCAGCTGGAGGAACGCTGGGCACTCAAGTGCAAGTTTGTGATTGCAAGTGACTTGAAAAGTGCACCAGTCAGAAGTCATGAAATTGTACTTTGTACAGTACCCTGGACATCCATGGACCAATTCTTTTGGCCCCCCGGCTGCACAAGACAGAATGTACATGTCCAGCATAGGGATTTTGAGGTGTTTAGGTTGTTGTTGCGTTATTCAGCAGGCTCTTCATACAATTGAAGCTGTTTTTCCGTCAGCAGACCAAGGACTTGGAAGTTCCTCCGACATCGCCGTTGCCATAGACGGTGCTGCTCACTTCACTGACTTGCTTTCTGGTGGTTTGGTGTTTCTAATTTTTGAATCTTCACATTAAAGCTACTTGTAGCAAGAAGCTACTAGGTGGAGGCCATCGCTAGTAGTAACAAGAAACTATTTCTTTGAAGGCGAAACCTGGTCAGTAGCCAGGTGCCCTAGAAGCTCTTTTCCTGCGGCAGCTCCTGCTGGCTGGATGGGATCTCTCCTGAAATTGTTGTGAGGGCATGGGTGCAGATGTCGCCAGCCGATAGGGTTTCCTCATGTCATTTCCGTTCCTAGGAACGATGACAGCAAGTAGGGGGGTTTGGAGTCTGACTAAGAAGAACCACCATGTCCTGATTTTGCAGTTTTGTCTTTTATACTTGGCTTTACCTTTCCTTTTGGCCAATATTATAGACTCCATTGAAAGACTGACTTATAGTTGCTGGACATCCCCGAGCGAGTGAGCCAAACTGGGGAGAGAAGAGCAATGAAGAGCATTAAGACACACACACACAAATACTTGGCTTGATGCTTAGTGCGGGGTGTGGTAAGAATTCGAGGAGTTGCTGTGAGTGGCTTGAGCATTTGGTCTTCGATGTCTCTGGAGACTCTGGAGCATTCCCGCCGGGCTCCTTTGGTGGAATGCGTCAGGTGGAGGAAAAGCTTGGAAAGAGGCTGGACATTTGAAGCACAAGCAAGTGGTCACAGCTACTTGCAGTCTCTTCACAACCTCCACATACATCCACACACAAGGGTTGCAGTCTCATTATGCGGTGCGGTCCTAGATGCATTTGGTGAGATCAATCAGATTATTCATTAATTGTTGATTTGCAATCAAATTACAAAGCTCCTAGTAGCTTCTTGTTCCTAGTAGTAAGGCCAGGAGCCCCTAGTAGCCATGCTCTTTGCTCCTAGTAGCGTCCTCTACCCAAATACAATCAGGCGCATTCTCCAGGTATCTTCATACCGCTCCGGCCAAAGCTCTGGAGAAGGCGGAGAAGTCTTTCAGTGAAGCTGCCAAGGAGTGAAGTTTGTGAAGCCGATGGATCTGTCGGCGAAGCCGATGTATCGACTGGCCATGTTGCTTGCAGGAGCTATTAAGACCCGATAGCGAGTGGAGCTATGAGTGACGTAGCTGCATTTGAAGCTGCTCTTGGATTCAGTTGAGAGGTCCGAAAAGAGTTTCCAACTAATAAGATTTCTTCTCAGTCAATGTCTCATGTTGTATGGGTTTTGCCGGGTTCAGACACTGTTTTTGTGGAGTTGAAACTACGTGTGTCGTGTTCATAACCTATTTTTGCTTGGGTGGTGGCGGGGTATTGCAACTGTTTAAGCGCAGTATGGAGAGTGCGTTTCCAGTTTCCGAACTCTACGTTTTCCTTTTCCAAACCCGAGTTTCTCAACCCAATATTTTAGTTTCCAAACGCTGACCTGCTGTATCAGTTGTATCAGTGTCAGGTGCCGAAATAAATTAGTCGCGTTGTTTCCACGCTTCCATGCTGTTTGCAGTAAGGCCTGCGCAGAAGGACTTTAGCAACGATTTTGCACAAGCTCTGAGGCAAATTTATCTTTGGAGATCAGCTTTTGGCTGAAATTGAAAAAGAACAAATTGAAATTGAACGCGCACAAGGGAGCACCGATCACCCAGTTTTGCCGTCCACTTCTTGGCTAGGCATCAAGTGAGCCTTTCACACGAGCGCATGAGAACCGTCGGAATCCCGGAAATCCCTTGACTCCCTTGGCTGAAGAAGCTTCGTGTTCCTAGTAGATCCTTGTAGCTTCTTGTTACTAGTAGTAAGGCCAGGAGCTACTGTACTAGTAGCGTCCTTGCTCCTAGTAGTGATGCCCTTTGTTCCTAGTAGCTTCTTGCTCCTAGTAGAAAGGCCAGGAGGCTCATGACTCAGACATGTTCCTGGCCTCTTGATGCTAAGTGTCATGGTTGACTCCGGTTGACCAAGACTTTTCCATTTTCTCAGTTCACCTTTCAACGCCCCCAGGCACAGACGCAGCGTGCCACTGCAGACGTCATCGGGAAGATCCAAAAACAGTGGCCCAGCTGAATGTAGAGCCTTGGAGCTTTCAAGCTCATCAAAGGTAATTTTGAAACTTGAAACACGTAGCATGAACAAACATGTAATCATGGATGATATACATACTACATACAGTGTATACATATTATATGTCAGGATCATGCGTGCAGTAGGGTGCGAGTGTTGTCCATACTTTTACTGAGTAACAGGTATCCAGACCTTCCCTTTTCACAGTTCTAGTTTGTCTTTACTGTGATCATAACTGTGGACAACCGCCACTAGAATTGTCCATAATTATTGCTATCATCTATTACTATTATGGCAGAGCATATGTTGCAAAAATTGTGAGCTCGAGGCTGGACTCCTTTGCAGACAAGCTGTGAGGCTCTTAATGTTCGGGACGATATGACTGTGATTCATTGTAGATGTACAGATGCCACGGACTCTTGAAGTAACAAAGGGCGCTACTAGGAGCAAAGGGCATCGCTACTAGGAGCAAAGGACGCTACTAGGGGCTCCTGGCCGTACTACTAGGAACAAAGGGCGCTACTAGGAGCAAAGGGCATGTCCAAAAGATTCCGGTGTGCATTCTTTGATCCTCGACCACCCAAGGAGGGGAACCACAAGTGGCCCGTGGTCGCTTTGGACGTGCCGCTCTCAAGCTGGAAGGTTCAGCACGCAAATGTTCGAAATCCATAGCCAAGCATTGCGCCTACTTTTCTTTTTGATTATGAAGCCAGTCTGTGCCTTTTAAGAAACACAATTACCTGCGAAGAGCAGCCTGGCACGAGGTCGTATAGACTTCCTGGCACTCCGATACAGGTGTCTGGACGCTCCTTGGGCACTCATAAACAAGAACATTGAAGAAGATTGAAGGTACGTGTAGCTCAGGAATTGCATCGCTGTCCTTTCAATCTCTCTCAATAAGAATGAGTCTTCCCAGGTTATCAAGACGGTCGCACAAACGTGATGTTTGACTTAGTGCCCAACAAGGAGCTCAGCAATCATGTGTCAAAAAGGGGTCGTCATCACAAACAACATTTAGTATAGAAAAACATTAAGCCAAGTTTCCCTAAAATCTAGGAACCAAATCATTAATCGGAGCACTTCTTCTAAAAAGCTCCGCCCCCTCAGGTGGGGGGAGCTTCCTTGAAGAAGCGTGAGCTCTCCAGCGTCCTCAGGTGGCGGGAAGTAGCGAACTACTCCCTAGGAGCTTCCCTTAATTAAGTAGGCGCCTACTTATAAAACTAAAAATATAAGGATGGGCGGCCATGGGCTTTGAAAACAAGGAGCTGAGAAATCATGATATATGTCAAATCGTGATTTGGAATGATTCGGGTTCATTGCGGTTCCATTGAGCTGAAACATGTCACCCTCATGCCCGCATCACTGCCCGCAAGGACCCTGCCAACGCAGAAGCTGGCTTTGTCGACGGCCTCACCCCACAAAACCTGGGCACCTTGGCTACACAAATAGACATGGAATTTGAATTATATAATTTATTGTATTTCCATGACACAAAATTTGAGGAAGGATGATGGCTTGTTTGCATCATAATATCGATCTATTTTAAGGATTCCGATATTTGATAATCCAATTGTTTTCTAAACCAGGCCTATCCCTCAATGTGGGAATCTAAAATCAAAGGAAAGAAATCGATAAAACATAAATCTATTATTTATTATATACACATATGATAATATTCCAAATATTAAATATATTAATAGATATATGGTATATTTATATATTATAAACATATAAATATATATTTTTATATTAAATATTTTTTAATATCTTTATTTTTATGGATTTATATAAAAATTTATTTTTTTATTTTAAAAAAATATGGGAATATTTTATATAATGAAAATAGATATTAAATATATATTTGATATCGAAGATATTTCGGAAATAGAAAGGATAAATTAATATATATATAATTATACAGATAATTAGAAAACATATGATTTATGAAGATAAATTATAAGATATATAATGGTTATAATATTAAAATATAGATATTTATTAATAGATAATTTTATTTTATTATGGATTATGATATAACTATATATTTTAAAAGTTAAAGTAATATATATTTATTTATATAATTTATTAAATTTATAAATATTAATATAAATATATAATTAAATATGTTTTATTGCCGAAAATATTGCGAAGGATTCTTCTGGAAAATCTTTTGAATATTGATCCTTCGATACTTATATTTACACATTGATACTTCTATCACACTTATATTATAATATGAACGTTACACATATGAACGCTACACATACCCTAATGTAAATGGAAGAACGAAAACGTTTAAATACAAAATATGCAAATGATGAGTATGCAAGCATGCAATGAGTATGCACGCATGCAATGAGTAGGCAAGTGTGAATATGGAAAATTACCACGGAAGATGTCCTAATGAAAAAGCATTTCCCCACTTTATATCTCTCTTAAAGGCGGAGGATGGAACGAACAGCGTCAACCGAAAATGCAATCCTCTACGGAGATCGTGCGTGTTGAATGCGCGAAATGCAGGCGAGAGCGCGATTTGTCCGGTCCGCGCACAACGCACAACCCTCTGCGGAGATCGTGCGTGTCGAACGCGCGAAATGCAGGCGAAAGTGCCGGGCGTCCGGTCCGCGCGCAACCCTCTGCGGAGATCGTGCGTGCCGAGTGCACGAAATGCAGGCGAGAGTGTCGGGCGTCCGGTGCGCGCACAGCCCTCTGCGGAGATCGCGCGCGTCGAGTGCGCAAAATGCAGGCGAGAGTGCCGGGCGTCCGGTGCGCGCGCAACCCTTTGCGGAGATCGTGCGTGTCGAGTGCGCGAAATGCAGGCGAGAGTGCG